CTGATGATCTTCCCGAAGTCTTATGGGCATACAGGACAACTTCAAGAACTTCCACCTCAGAAACCCCTTTTTCGCTAGCCTATGGCTGCGAAGCAATGATTCCCGTAGAAATGGGAACTAGTTCTCTTCGGAGAGACTTGTACGACGAGGTTGAAAACGAAATGCTTATCAGGGCAAGTCTGGATCTTGTTGAAGAGCACCGCAGCAAGGCTTCGCTAAGGATAGCAGCCTACAAGCAGCGTGCAAAGAGGTTTTTCGATTCAAAGGTCAAGCGAAGAGACTTCCAGGTCGGAGACCTTGTGCTAAAGGAAGTTCTTCTTGGGACCAGAGAGCCAAGTGCGGGGGTACTAGGACCTAACTGGGAAGGACCGTACCGGGTCGACAAGGTGATCAGACCGGGGACTTACCATCTCAAAAGATTGAACGGTTCCAAAGTATCCCGAGCACCTCTGGCCATACTATCAGTAATCCCGAACTCAGCTCCCAAATTAGTTTTTGTTAGTTTCCTCTTTAATGTAAAGTATTATTTTGTTCGCTGCAAACAGTTCGCATGTATTCTGTTCGCGTGTAAGAATTCGTATGTAATATTGCCTATGTAAAACTGAATTGTAAACTACACTTATGTATGAAAAAGCTAACAGCAATTGAAAGCAAAATGTATTTTCATTTATGTACAACAAAAATTAAGACCCCATCTCAATGGAGTCAGACTCGTTACACTATGGCTGGTCGGGGGGATCCTTCGAAGCAGGACCAAAACCTTCTGCCTAGTCGGATCGTCGGGTGGCCGCTGCTGCTTGATCATCTTCCTCCGCCAGAACCCGCAAGGTCTCTTGCCACCCCTCTAGGAGGTCAAAAATATCCAGATCTGGGTTCTTTGGTCGCAGGGTATAAATAGACCCGATTGCCTAGTCGACGGCCTTATCCTCAATCTCCTCTGACTGGATCCGCATTTCTTCAGTCAGTGAAGTGATCTTTTCCCGACTCTCCTAGAGTTCAGCCTCGAGAGCTTCCCTTTCCTTTTCGGAGGCCTCCCTTTCTAGTTCAGCTCGCTGAGCCCATATGGAGGTCGTCTGGATCTCCTGGTCCTTTTCTCCAACCTCTTTAGAGAGCCTAGCGGTTGTCCTTTGAAGCTCCTTTACTTCCTCCGCACGTCGTTCAAGCTCCGCCTTTTGGAAGTCCACTGTTTGCAAAGCAGCATCCTTTTGGTTCAGGTACCTGTTCGCTGCTTCGAACGCTTGCGTTCTTTCCACTTCGACGAACTCCAGGCTGTGCTTGAGCTTCGCGACCTCTTCCTTTAGGTCGCTTGCCCCCTTCGCGGCCCTCAGCCAAGTCTTCTCCATAGACATCCTCATCGCAAGCAAAGCCTACGAGCAAGAAGTGAATTAGAATGGAAATGGCGGACAAACTTTAAGAGCAGTTCGCTTACCTTGCTTAGATGCTGGAACGATGTGGTCATCAGGTCATCGCCCGTGTCGGCGAACTCATCATATGACTCTAATAGCCCACACTCGAGCAGAGAATAGACTATCGACTGCAGGTATTCGGGCAGGCTCCCCAATGAGTCCAGCACTGGTGCGTCCTTCGTCTTGTTGGCAGCAATCGCCTCGTCCATGGGTTCCTTACCCGACCTCCTTCTTGAGTCCTATCGCGACCTCAAGGGTTCTTCCTCAGATTCGGTCTCTGACTTGTCGACCTGAATCTGCTTCCTCTTCTTCGACCTGTGGGCTGGAGCCTTCTACCTTGGGCGAGCAGGTGGTGTCTGAGCGACCTGTTCTGTCCTAGTCACTTCTTACACAGGACGGGGCTAGAAAGGTGCGGCTGTTCGCACCGATTGTGTCGTAACGGGATGAGTAGCTTCGACCGCTCTCTCTCTCCTCGATCAAGGGAAGACGAACGGTGCTCGGCGAGGCTATTCGGAATCTTTCGGAGGCATAGTAGCTGCCTGCAAGTACGTTAATAAACAAAATTATCCTGCGACCAGAAGGGAATCAGTGTAACTTACCTTCTAGGGGCTCCAAAGACGTGTTGTTACTGATGAAACCGTACTTCCGCAAGTTCGCGGTTGTCATGAGCTTCCTCGCATCCCGGCTTTCCTCAGAAAGGACTCCAAAAGACACGAGCCTGTCTGGGTCGTCAAGCAGGTCTTGGCTAGTCGTCTTATTAACTGCAAAAGAAGGCAGGTCGTTATAATCAAGCAAGCGAACAGACAATGAACCTAGCGAAGAAGAACCTACTTGGTTTCTGAAAACGACAGTAGCCGTCATAGCAGAAAAAGAAGAATTTTGTCTCGGAGGCCCCCTCGTTGTTGGGATAGCTATGTATCCCTTTGGCGATGGTAGGTCACCGGGACAAGTAATAGGAATCCTTGTCCTTACTCTTTTTGAGATAGTAGGCGATACCGAGTTCCACCGCCGTTGGCTCGCCCAAACCACTCTCGCAGCACGCGATGTACATCGCGACGGCGATGACATATGCGTTTGGCGTCAACTGCATCGGTGCGATCCCGAAGTGATCCAAAACTGACCTAATGAAAGGATGGAAGGGAATCATCCCTCCACCCTTGAAGATCTCTTCGGAGATCGCAGCAAGGCCATCGGAAGGATGCCTTGACGACTGGGTGTTGTCGAGGAACACCTCTGCGCGGATGTCGAACTGCCTTTTTATCCTATCGAACTCTTCTCGGGTGAGAACCGAGAAGACATCAAGGGATGCGTCCGCAGGAACGTCCCGCAAAGACGAACTGGTTCCTTCCTCGGGTCTGGACATTGACGGTTCCATCCAGAGTCTGCAACACCAACAGACATGGTCATTTTAGCCATCGCATGTTGTCCCGCGCGGCGGCATGGGACAAATTCCTTAAACCCTAACAGTAACTCAAACCGCCACCCACGGCTAGAATCCGATGACGGTGTCGCGTCTCTAATGAAACACCAGGAGACCCAACGCCATTGCCCACCAACCAAACAAAAAAAAAAAAAAAAAAAAGAGGAAGAAGAAAAAGGACCTTACATTTTAGGGCGCGTGACCAAGTTCGGATCTTGTTTCAGATGTCTGAGAGGCGCCAATCGGAAAAGAAGAACTTCCGGTTTGCAAAGGCTTGTCACTCGAGGCAAAAGGGATTTTGGTGGCATCATCTGAAAAATTTGGGCTTTTATATGGACTGCGAACCGACGGTTACCACCTCTCAGAATCGAAACGACAGTCTTCTTTCTCTCCTCATTAATGCACCCCACGTCGCATTCAATGCTGTGACGAGGGTCGTCATCTCAAATGCGTCGTGCAATTAATGCTGTCAAAACAACGCCGAGTCAGAACACAACGCATTTAATGCGCCTGTCAGACGCCTTAACACGTGCAGAGCGCCTGACAACGCAGAAACAGGTTCATTGAATCTCCAACCCTAAGGCACGGTAAGGAGCGTCCGACGAATCCAAGTCGCTAAGATGATGATTGTCAGGTCGTTTGGGCAAAAAATTGTGCGAGGTCGTGTTCGCAAAAGGCCTTGTCCCGAGCTTCTCCCATTCAGGACGAAATTACCAGAACCTCCAATCGCGGCATGACTTAGTTTCCAAGGTTCGATCCTTAAACCTTAAAAACTAGGGGACTTCTGTTATGCTTGGGAAAACAAGGGCTGACATGGAAAGTCACGTGATGAAGTGTGACATGCACCCATCAGAACAGTAAGCGCACGTTAGGCCTGCCAAGCGTCATGGAGCTCCCACGTGTCCATTTCCCTGCTCCAAATCGCGTGAAATCAGCTTGGGAAATGGGCAATGGGACGTAAAGCCGGATTATGTCCTGACATTCACACCAACCCATGGATTTCATGATGATTACATGCATTCAACTCGATATAAAAAGAGGAAGACCCCTTCATTAAGGGGATTCGGCCATTTTACACTTGAACTCTCTCTCTAAAAACTTTGTATTTACTTTTCCCAATCATTTATAAGTCAGTCTGCTTTTGTGACCTGACCCACAATACTAATACAAATTAGTGGACGTAGGACTTGCTACCTTAACATCCGAACCACTTTAAAAGTTCTCATTGCATTTATTTCACATTTTCTATCCATAATCATGTGTGTTTCTTGACCAATCAACGTTGCGTACATGTCGATTAGTTGATGTTAGAATCACGCATCAACAGAAAATAAACCATGTAATAATAAAGAATTAATTATATATATTCTGACATATATCTGTAATGTTGAGAAAGAGATACAGATAATGTTACATTCAATGACCAGTTGTATTTCTTTTTTGGTTGGCTTTGGCATTTATCATTCTGAGGTCAGAAATTGTCGGCGGAATGCCGTTTAGAATAATTCTCCAACACTTTGTCAAAGTTCATAATTTGATATTTCGTCGGCAATTCCAACAATTAAGACTGATGTACAGCAATGCATAATACAGTTGAGATATTTAGTGTGTACAGTTGTATTAATATAAGTTGTTGTTGTTAAATGACCACATATCTCCACTCACATTCACAAATAAAAGTCTTGCTACATAAGATGTTAACTTGGCTCAATGAACTGATTTCCCCATCAATCAAATTTTAATCATTGGTCGTATTCTGGTGATTATGACCATGGCATGGCACTCTACCTTACTCAAGTTGCCAGTCATATTAAAGGTGCAACCAAGTCATGCATAATAGAATCAAGTATTCACACAGTACAAGAACGATTCAAACAAATAGGAGATATCATTTGAATATCAACCAACTCAGTAATATAGTCAAATCAAATGATCAAACATTAATTAATATAACTAGTAATTGCTGGCCTTCGCCCCAGTGTCCACACAGTACAAGAACGATTCAAACTAACATTTTACATATAATTTAGGTTTTGAGACTTATGAAAGTAGATATATGTAGTCTCTAGAGAAAACTATTATATAGCTAGGACCATCCTTAATTTGATGAGCTCCAATAACAATTAACATTTGGAGTGTATGCCACTATTCAGAATTTAGTGGTTCAAGACGTTTCAGCTCAAACAGCTTTGACCTTTGAGTATCATGTCGAAGGCATTCTCCATGCATGACTTTAGCTTTTGGGAATCTATGAACCCATCTTCTGATCCTATAGCAATCCTCAGCTGCCCCATGTAACTCACCAACGTTATTACAAGACTCTGCAACACCATCACGAACAAGTTATTCAATTCAACTTCAACTCATTTTTGCTGGCAATTGAACTCAATCTTTATAAGTGGCAGTGGATTTGTATAATTTTAGAATTTTTCATATTTAATTATGCACGATGAATTAATTCATGTCAAAAGTAGAGCCTTTGATACAGCATGCCTGACAAAATTAACCATCTTTTTTTTTATGAATAGGGTGTGTTTGGTTAAATAAATATTAGATTATTGAGAATGTTATATTAATAAAAAATTAATATACCTTGAAGAGTATTGAGAATCTTTAGGGAAATGTGTTTGGTTAGTTGGAATAAATTGGTAAATATGTTATATAAATTACTAAATTGCCCTCATTTTTAAATATTAATATAATATTATTTTTATTATTAATTTTTGAACTTTTTTTTTAACCCCCAACATTTCAGATTTAGCTAAAACACCCCAGCTTATATAAAACTTTAATTTGTAATAAAATCACCCTCATCCACCCTAAGTCACTGTTGGCCGTCACCACTAAAAGTCACTGAAAATCACCGGGAGTCGCCAATATGATTGTGTCCGGCCATATTGATGGCTGAAAACGACCAGATGGTCGTAGATCTGGCCATTAACAAACATGGCATCGATCAACCAGAAATGAATAGAATAGATCTAGCCATTTCTAGCAAGATCTACGACCATTAATATGGCTAGAAATGGCCATATCGGCAACTCCCAGTGGCTTTCGGCGTCGATCGATGGTGGTTGGTCAATTGTTGGTAGTGGTGGTTGGGTGGCGGTGGTGGTCTACAATTTGTTTTAAATGTAAGGGCATTATTGTACAAAAACTTAATTAATCAAGGGTAAAATTGTAATGGCAGATTAATGTAAATTGTTTTTTAAACAAGGGCATTATTGTCCAAAAATTTTATTAATAAGGGATAAAATTGTAATAAAAATAAGATTACCAAGTAATCTTAAAATACCTAAGAAAATGTAAGTAATCAGATTATTACTATTGGTTTTGAAATATTACCAGAATCTTATATTACTTGACAACCAAACGTGGTAATCAAGTAATATAAGATTGACATTACCTCAGTAATCCAACATTACCTCCAACCAAACACACCAATACACCATATATATTAATTACAAGTATGTATTTTGTAATTAAGAGATAGAGTGAATTAATAAGGACACATTTCCCACCCAAGGTTTGGCACTCTATATATTGATTACAAGTATGTATTTTGTAATTAATATATAGAGTGAATATTAATAAGGATACCAAGAAGAAAAATAATAATAATAAGGGAGAACAACATTTTCCCACCCAAGGTTTGGCACTCTATATATTGATTAAAAGTCTGTATTTTATAATTAATATATAGAGTGAATATTAATAAGGATACCAAGAAGAAAAATAATAAAAATAAGGGAGAAAGACATTTTCCCACCCAAGGTTTGGCAAAACGACCTTTCCCACCCATTATGGGCGTTTTCCTTTCCTAATTCAGGAGCTTTTTTCCACCCCCTGGGTGTTTCTGACTAGGGGTGAGCGATTCAGGATACCCTGCATTTTTCGGGGGAACCGGAACCACACAACATGTTTCCAAAAAAAGGAACCAAAACCGGAACCTGTCAATTCCAGTTCTTAAATTCAAGGAACCGAAGCCTGAATTTCAAGTTTCATTCCTTACCTAGGTACTCTATAAAAAATCAATTACCCCCCTATTATTTTAAAAAATGACAAAAATACCTTAAAAGTTTACAAATACACCCATAGCAAATTAAGAAAACCTACATTTAGTAGTTTCGAACTTTTGATTACTCATTCATTTGTGTCCAATGTGACTCATAAATCCTTTAATCTCTAGGCAACATTTGAATTCAATCAAGTCATTACAATTCACGTAAAATTTTTTAATCAAAACCAAAGCACAAACATGTTCCAAGCAAGTTCCAAGCTGGGTACCCACTTCAGGTTCTTTTCCTCGATTTTGGTTCTGGTTCTAGTTCTGAAACCTGTAGGAACCGAAACTGGAACCGCACAGTGTTAGTTCCAATAAAATGAAATCAGAACCTACCCGCACAATGTCAATTCCAAGTAGGTTCTAATTTTATCCGCTACCCGTGCTCACCCATATTTCCAACCATAGTCCAGCCAGGGTTGATTGTGGTACTCCAATAAAGGTTAGGAAAGCCCCTTTTAAGTTCTTCAATTTTTGGGCCCATGACACTAGATTCTTGGAAATTGTAGAGTCGGTTTGGAGAGAAAATGTGGACGACAACCCCATGTACCAGCTAGTGACGAAACTCAAGAAACTTAAAGGAGAACTTAATTAGGATACTTAATCGTAAGGAATATTGGTGTATCTTGGAGAGAGTTAAGGAGGCTAGGGAATCACTCTTGGAAGTTCAAGACAAATTGGTCGTTGATCCTTTTAATAGAAACCTTATTGATGAGGAGAATGGTAAAGCTCTTCGTTTTAAAATGTTGAGCTTGGCGGAAGAGAGCCTTGCTAAACAAAAGGTGAGGGTTAATTGGCTTAAGGAAGGAGACCAAAACATGGCATTCTTCTTTAAAACCATCAATGGGAAAAGAAATAGGGAAAAAATTTCCTCTTTGGTTCTTGAGAATGGTTTTGCGACTAGGGCCAATGCTAGAATCAAGAAGGAGTTTGTGGGTTCTACCAAAATCTCTTTTGAGAGAAGGAGCCTCAAACAAATTTTGAAGGCCTTGAAAAGCTTATAGTTCCTTATATGAGGGATGAAGAGAAGATGTTTATGGAAGTTGAAGTGACTAGGGAAGAGATTAAGAAAACTTTTTTCGAGCTTGGTAATAATAAAGCACCCGCCCCCGATGGATATGGTGCCCACTTTTTTAAACAAGCTTGGAGCATAGTGGGAAAGGATGTTGTGGAGGCTATCCAAGATTTTTTTTTAGATCTGGGAAGATCCTAAAGGAAATTAATTGTACCATTATAGCCCTCATGCGGAAATATGAAAACTCATCCACTTGTCATGACTTTAGACCAATTTCTTGTTGCAACATAATCTATATATGCATCTCGAAGATTATTGCAAATAGAATCAAGGATGCACTCCTAAGCTTTGTTGATCGAGCATAAGCTGCTTTTGTTAAAGGTATGAAGATTGGAGACAACATTCTTCTTTACCAAGAGTTGGTGCGCCACTATGGGAGGAAATTAGCCAAGAGTAAGAAATCTTCCTTGAAAGTTGATTTGATGAAAGCTTTACGACTCGGTGAATTGGGACTTCATCATCGAAATCCTTAAGGGGCCATTTGGATCCTATAGTGTGCGTTTGGGTTACTATTTCTATCAGTATTTGGGATACAATTTTGAAATTTGTGTTTGTTTTATTACTTAAAAAGTTGTATTCAATAAATACTACTCCTGTCATATTTGACAGTTATGTTGGTGGGGTCTACATCTGCAATTTTTTATTTTACTTCTTTCTTCCTTTATTCCTTTCTTCTTCTTCCTCTTTATTTCTTTAGTCTCTCTCCCTTAACCACCGTGACAAGTCTCTCTTCCACTTGCCATCTGCCCTTCTTTATTCTTTATTTCTTTCCTCTTCTTCTTTATTTCTTCAATCCCTCTTCTTCCAAACACCAACCACCATTACAACTTCTCTTCCACCTGCATTCAACCTCTGGCGAAGCTCAGTTAGGCCGATCTGAACCATTCTGGCGCACAGCTCCCTGCTTCTTTCACATAAAGACAACATGACGATTGAACTATAGGCAACACATATGACTAGGGGTGTTCAAAAGAACCGTTGGGTACCTGGTGTTTGGTTCTGATTCCTACTCAGAACCGATCATCAACGGGTAGGTTCTGGTTCCAAAAATCTGGAACCGACACTATACGGTTCTGGTTCTAGTTCCTACAGTCAAGAACCGAAACCGAAACCCAGAACCGGGACTGAAATGAAATGTTATTAAAGAGTGGGGGGTTATTGTAATTTACTTGCCACATATAAATACTTCAAATTAGGGCAAAAAAATTCATTTTCTTTCTTCCCTTCTCACGATCTTCATATGCTCTTGTTGCTCTCTATCCATTCACTTCAGATTAAGGTAAAACTTTAGCTTTTTTTTCTTTGCAAAAAAGTTCATTTTCTTTCTTCCCTTCTCACAATCTTCATCTGCTCTTGGTCTCTGTCCACTCACTTTAGATTAAGGCAAAAACTTCAGCTTTTTTTTTCCTTTAATTTGCTTGGTTTTGTGAAATCGTGATCCTTGGAATCTAGAAGAAGACACTAAAGCACTCCAATTTCTTAAGGTAATTTCCATTTCTTTCTTTTAATTTTATTTTTGAATTTTAACTTGATCTACAGATCTAGATTAACTTCATTTCTGCTATAGAGTAACTACAGATCTAGTTAAACTAGCTCCCCAAGTAAGAAACCAAGAGTATATAGAACTCTAGAGATACAATTTTTACCTTATACTATATATTCTGTCTTTTAATCTTCATGACCTTCAACCACAAGATTGGCAGAAAAAATTGATAATATGATGTTAATATATAAAGTAACTGTGTTGTTCTTGGCCTATATGAAATTTAATTAATTAAAATGGTGTAATATTAATCCTGAACTGAAAGAAGGTTAAAAGTCATAATATGTAAAAGATAGTTAATTTTGTCTTCGAAAGCTTAAAACAGAGAAAGTTAACCAACATTACATGTGGGATAAGTATGATTAACCATAATTATGAAACTTAAATTAAGTAAGCTTATTACTAACAATGACAAGACCCAAAAAGAAGAAGATTAAAAGAAAATTAATTAATCTCACTCGTGTCTTTATTCCATTGTGTTTTGTGCATTCAATAGAAAGTGTATGCTGAATTTGGGTGAGTTTAGCTATTAATTAATTGAAAATTCATCAATGAATTTACTGCTCTTAAAAAAGATGGAGTTGATTCCATGGAATGGCGTACAAAAATATTCTAATCACACTTACTCAAAAAACTGAGA